ACGCTGCTCCGTAGAATGCCTCAATTGGGTTTTCCCCTGCTGCTGCTGGGACAGGCTTACGAGGGTGCGGGTGGAGTTCTGTTCTGGTTGCCAGGCTACGATCGCGGCAGGTGGTGGTGCTATATGCTTTCGCACAACCAACGATCCTCGAGGGCAAAGCCACAGGGGCGCAGTTTAACGGTTTTCATTTTTAAGGGGTGACACACAGAAAGGGAGTTGAAATTTGATAGTCACGAGAATGCTCTTGGGCATTGCTTCAGTTATTGAAATGTATTTTGATTCGATTCCCACAAAACACTTCTAAGAACACTCGCCTATTCCTCTGCGATGTGTGAAGGAAACCCTAGTGGAAGGAAGACCTTCAAATTGTAGTCAAAATATTAGTTTGGGCTTTGTTTTCTTGAGGCTGCTTTTTAGGGCTTCTGCTGCACAGCAAATGTCTTGGAATATATTTCTTGTATGGGGTGGATCAGGGATAGAGCTAAGAACTTTTGTTTGAATTTGCGCCACTTTCGGAAAGCGGAATGTCTTTCAGGTTTTTGGCATTGTTCAGGACACAAGCAGCAACCAACCACCACCACCGTGTCGTGTACTTCCCTGTCTAACCCAAAATCAGTTGGTAGTTCCTCGTTTCATTGAAGTGCGCACACAATACACAAGACTGAGGCACAGCCTCAGGTAAATTCAATAGTTGGATATGCGAAAAAATAACCCAAAAAGGCAGAGAGAGAGGGAGAAGCGATAAAGCAGGGAACCCTGATGTGAGTTTTGAGTTTGAGTCGCAAATACAGCTGCCGTTGAAGAGGAAAGGGTCGCAAGACTGCGGAAGGTTCGTTCACTGCCCGCAGAAATTGGAGCAATCAATGCACCGCTGCTGCTCCTCTTTTTCCCAGTGGGAAGTGCACGAATTGTGGTGCATCTGCCACTGCTCCCAGGCCTGCCTTCAGCAGGTTAGGAAACAGGTAGGAGAGTCGAGCGTCTCTCTGTGTGTAATCCAATGCCCAAAACTCACTGTTCCATGGAAAACAAACCAAAGGATCCCAGTTTCCCATTCCCATTCCCATTGCACATTAGAACAAGATGTTGGGTATTATGAGTATGGGGAAAGGGCGGGCAACTAAGTGGCGGCATATGCAAAGTGTCCAATTACCAAAGGGGAAATGCACCAGCTGCTCCTACGGCTCGACAGGATATGGAAAATGCGATCTGAGAGAGCTCTGATGGATGCTGTGGGCTGGCTACCTTTACCTGTCGGCCACCCCCCCTTTGGCTGCTCTTTGAGCCTCTGTTGGAGTTCATCCCCTTTTAACCCAAAAACTCCCACACACACACACACGTGCAAATACTCTCAGGAACACACACACGGGACACACGAGCCAGAGAACTTTTGGCGAAGGACGTTCGTTCGTTCGTTCGTTGGATGTTGTTTTTGTTGCTGCTGCTGCTGCTGCTGCTGTTGCATGACTCATCTGGGGGGGTTATCGATTTTCGATTTTGTGATAGATGAGAGGGAAATATCCATACCTGAAACTTGAATTTCGCCTGAATCAACTGCACAATGTTGGGGCCGGAGCGCGGCTCATAGATATTGATGGTCTGGTTCGTGTGGCAGCCACAGATGAGGCAGGTGCGCTTCAGGTATTCCGAGGAGGCGGATTTCTGGGATGCGGCCACTGCCGCGGCGGGCTCCACTTGGTGATGATTGTTGGCAGACATTTGGGCGACACTTTTCGCACGAGCACGGGCCGGGCACACACACTCGACGGCCTTTGACGTCACTGCAGAACTAACGGTAACTCGAGCTGTAACCGTAGTTGCTCCAACGTAACTGTAACTGTAACTGTAACTGTATAACTGTGTAACCTCAGCTCTTTGGGGGTGGGTGGCGCGAACAAACGCAGAGAGAGAGAGAGAGAGAGAGCGAACGAGAGACGCGAGCGAGCGAGCACGGAGAGAGGAACGTCCTTTGGGTTCCACGCACAAATTTTGAATGTGGCACGAACGAGCACGATGTGGCACGTTTGCCTGCCGCCTGCCGCCTTCGGTTTTCGTTTTTTCCCTTTTTGCTTTGTTCGTTCCTTCCCTCTTTGCTTCGTTTTTCAAAGGTATCTGAACTGAGAGGTAGGGCTTTGGTGGAGTAAATTCATGGGCCTTGGGAGTCCCTTTTGAGCGCGGTTTCTGGAGCAAATAAATTAATTAATTAATTATAATATGCATAAGATAAATATTTATGTGCAAATATTGGAAGCTCCTTAAATGTCCGCTAATTTACTTGCTAATTTGCACTTCAATTGCTTTATAGATCCTAAACTAAGGTACTCCCAGTTAATACTCCAATTGAATCTTTATCGATCTGCAAATATTTTGACAACTGACTTGACCTATCTGAAGTTTTGCCACTCGATTTACCTGCCTGCCACGCCGGCAAGTCGCGACAGCTGCTGCTGCTGCCCCAGCGACAATACTCCAAACTTAATGTGTCGGCCTGTGGCGGCTTCCTCAGCTTGGACTTATCATTATGTTATGGAGGAAGACACGGCAATACAACACCGTGTGGCATGGAGCATGGAGCATGGAGCATTGAGCATAGCGTCTGTGTGTGTGTGTGTGTGTGTGAGCGCATTGTGGGCTCATCAACAGGCTGTCCTCTGTCCTCAGTCCCCACTGCGGCTCATCCGTGCACCGACAGCGACAACAAGCGGCAGCTGCTAGCTGCTCTGCCTCAAAATACTCGCACAAAAGGTGCGTTTTGGTTTTTTGTTTCTCATCTTTTCCTTTTCCTTTTCCTTTTTGTTGTTGTTGTTGTTTTTTTTGTTTTTGGGCAACTCAATCATATGTTCTCTTTGAGCCAAAACGTTGCAGCTTGCAACCGGATTGCTTCTTTATGCTGGCCCGGCGACAGATGTTTTCCTTTTTGCTTCTTGCTTTTCTCTCCCGTTTGCACCATCTTTGGTCGCCGCCTTTGCGCCTCCACCTGGATTTTTGGGGACTGGGTTACGCTGCGCCTCCTGCCGCTACTTTTACTCGCACTACGCGTCTTGGGCCTGTAGTAAACAAAGGAGTAAAACACTCCACTCCACTCCATGCGTTCATGAATGAATTGATGAATGGTCGTAGGGCGCTGTGCCCTGAACCCTGGAACGAATCGAATGCATCCTCCTCCTCGTTCGTTTTTCTTGGCATATGCGTGGCAAATTTCCATATCGGGCAGAAATCTGGCAAGGAAGCGGCCAGGATGCTGGTGGCTGGGATCGAGATGGAGATGGAGAGAGCCCAACCGGAAGAGCAAAGTTTATGATAATCCAAAGAATCCCAAAACCAAATCAGCGGTTGGATTGCTGTAAATATAAGCATATAAATATTTCTGTAAATATAAACAATTTAATGTTAATAAAAACAAAAGTTATGCCATTCCGTTTTCGCCAAAACTTTTTTGGAATGGATTTCTTGCAGTTCCAATATTAATTATTCAATTGATGTGTTTAATTAGGTTCCTAAGACTTTAAAGAAAAATACTAACTAAGGAGAAATAAAACTGAAACAACTATTTCACTTTTACCTTTCTTTTCTTTTCCTTATTCGAATATTTGCAATTTGAATTTCAAAATCTCCAACTGGAATTGGAGTGCTGCCATCTATCGTTGAATTATGATAGCGCCATTTAGCAAGGCAGAACTCTCTCTGCTAGGTGGCGCTGAAGAGTTGACGTATGGCCATGTCGAAGTCCCGTAAAATTCCAACGCTTTTTTAAATCAGAGGTCGGCAGCGTCACAGTTGCATAGGAGGCGATCTGCGAAAGCTTAGCGTGGCTTCGGAGAACCGCCGCAGCGGCAGAGAAGCAAGAAACTTTTTGGCTTCGTGTCTGTGAACGTGCATGTCTGATCATGTCTGTTTATGTCTGCTTATTATTTCTTATGTCTGCTTATTTCTATGCGCTCGGAAGCATGTGAGTGGCTGAGAGCTTTAGAGCTTTAGTAAATATTTATTTACTATGATTAGAATTGAACGTACTCGAGCTTTAGAAACTTTACTTGCTGTCAATCTTTCATTGGAAATTCTCTTTATTCTTTCTTATTCTGTTATTGACTTAATTTGCTTCCCGTTATCCGAACTTCCATCATCTTTGGTAACCCATGCGTGCGGCCCTCTTAAAAGTTGAGTGGAAATCACAACAAAAGATCCATGCGGAATGTCGTCACCCGCTGCCAGAGCATTTCGTTGTCCGTCGACTCTCACCTTGGAGTTTTGCTGCCCTCTCCTCTCTGGCCATGTTTCTCACGGCACACCAAGGAGTTACGTGTGTTTGCCCGTTATCCCGCTGCTGAGAAACCTGGCAGTGGAAATTGCAATTCGGGAGGCACCTTGGGACTTGCTCAATAAGATCGCGCCCCTTGCACTCACTTGGACCCCCCATACGCACGTGCGAAAGTTGAAGTAGGGCCAGCAGCGGTGGCTATAAAATAATTGACTTGACTTTATAATTGCAACAGCCGAACGGGAACAAGAACACGAATACGAACTGGTGGTGGCGGCGTCGCCTACTGTGCCCTGCCAGCATGAGGTTCCATGCGGCAGTGGCACCCAGGAACGTCACACGATTGGTGCGCGCCCCAGACTCGCTGGCACCAGTCTCTAGGGGATGGAAATGCAGCAGCAGAAGCGGCAGCAACCCTCTGGGGAAAAGGTTCAGTTTTGCCGGCTAGCGCTGATAGTTGGATGGATGGCTGGATGGCAGGATGGATGGATATGGAATGGAATGGGAGTGTGCTTGGGTGGCTGTTGTTGGCTCTAGTCTACCTCTCCCGGTTCCTCTCCCTGTTCCGCGCTCTCTTCTCTTCTGTTTACTCGCTCTCACTGCGTCTGCTCTGTGCGAATTCCATTTTGTTTTAAGAGCTTCTGCTTCTGTTTCTGTGCTGGATGTGGTGTTATGCCAGGCGGCGTTGTGGCCAACAATTCAGTCAGTTTCCGACGCTTAAGGCGCAAGGATATCCAAAGCGCTTGCCAGGATTCCCATCCAAATCGAAATCAAAACCAAAACAAACCGCAAGCAGACACGTGTTTGGCGCGAAACGAAATCGGACACCGAGCAGAGAGTTCTATATCGATATAGGATATAGGATAGGGAAATTGTGAGCAGTGACCAGTGATTTGCATAGTGCTCCCGTGCAATCCTCCAGAGAGGCCTTCATCCTGGCCATGTCCCGACGCAAACAGGCCAAGCCGCGCGCCTGTCTCAAACGTAAGTTGGGCAAACCCAATTGGTTGGTCAGTTGCTCCCCAGTGACTTGGTCTGACATCGACTCCATGTCCTGTGTCCCGTGTATCCTTGTGTATCCTCCAATGTGGGTGGTGTATGTTTGTCTGTTTGTCTGCCTGTGTGTGCATCTGATTGATTTGCTTTGATAACCCTAGGAGACACATGGACAGGGGCGGATACAGGAAGAGTGGACATGTGTGGGGGATATGTGGGGGGTGGACACAGCACAGGACACAGCATTACTCTGCCAAACTTTGCTCGCGGGACCACAAAATGTGACAAATGCAAATGGCCTCCGCCTGCGATGAGCCAACGTCCCATTCCATTCCATTCCGTCCCGTCCGGTGCTGCTGCTCCAACTGAAGCTCCTACTCCTGCTCCTGCTCGGAGCTCTCTCCATGCCCGACCGACCGACCATGCTGCAGCTTGCAGGCATTGGCCAATCCCTGGGGACCCACACACCTAACTGTCAGTGATAGAGAGCCAGCGAGTGCAAGAGAGATGGACAGTCATGGCAGTGGTGCCCCCAGAGGGGTGGCTTTGGAGAAGAGAGTGTGGTGCTAGGGTTGGGGCCTCAGCTCTGGTAGCTCAGAGACCATGAAAACCCAAACAAACCCCAGAATGAGGTTGAAACATTGAGTGTTCTGGTGAACCAACAAGTAAATGGATGGATATTTGGAGAGCCCAACGACTGGAGGATAGATACTCTTTATTACTCAACTATAAAAAATGTATTTATATTTGTGTTTTTCTAGTTCTAATATTTTAAAACTCTTCAGTTCTGTTTATTGTAACAAAATGAATCACCAAATCAATGCAACCCCACTGCATACCCTTCACTGCAGAGGCTCATAAAAAGTTCTTTGGCCAAAACGCAGCTTGCATTTTTGGGCATTTTTGTGATCTGGTTGTCGGGGCTCCTGCTCCACTCGTGCCTCCAGACTCTTGCCTACGAACCAGGCCCAGGCCCAAGCCCAGTCGAGGCAACCAAAGTGCCGTTAATTTTTAATACAATTTCAAATTGTGTCAGTGTAAATAACAGCAGAGATGCGGCAGAACAGCAAGAGCATGGCAGAGAGAGAGAGACAAAGCAACAACAATGATAACAAATAAAATTGACAATAAATCCAATGCAAACATGTGCATGCGGTATGTCGTGAATGGGGAAGGGGTATGGGTGGGGTATGGTGGGATCTGGTCTGCTCAAAGCCCCTAAAGACAGCTGGAGCACACACACGCACACACACAAATTTACACACAAACACAGAGAGAGTGAGAGCGAGAGCGAGAGATATCCTCATGCTGCTGCTGGCGCATGAGAATTTCCCCAAAGTATAAAAAAAGCGAACTTTGGCTTTGCTCTTTTTCTGCTTGCTCGCTCGCTCGCTCACTCACTCACTCGCTCTCTCTGTTGCGCGGGAAAAAAGCACAAAACACAGAAAACCCATTGCCATGTATTTCTCGAGGGAGTCGGCAACGGGCTCTCCGGCCAATCCCAAGGGATACCAAGCGACGAGGCAACGACGAGGCGAGGCAGGGCCACATCCACAGCAGCAACAGCAGCAACAACAACAAACATGCGCCAACTCCCTGGGGGATTTTCATTTGCTGACGGCGTTGCCAGCCAGTTTGCATTTATATATATGTACGTACGTGTGTGTGTGTGTACACATATATATACATACATACATATGTATATTTATAGGTAATTTTGCTGAAAAAAACAAAAACAAAGAAAACATTTTTGCAGCAAAGAAATGCTTTGATTTTTGCACCTCTGCTAAACAGTGTCCGCAACAAGTAAGCGCACAGACTGGCTGGCATTCTTCTTATATTTATGTGTAGGCTTCAGCCAAAGGGTTGAGCACAATTCACCGACACTGTGTATGGGGCTGCAGAATGCTTTAAAATGTTAGCTTCTGGCAGAGGAATTCCCATGGCTGGGCAAAAAGGCTTAGGATTCCAGCTGCCATAAGTTGTCGTTGCCTTCTAGCTCCTTGCGCCATCGTCCACCACCACCCCGTGCCAGACTATCAACCCAATCCCAATCCCAACTCATCGTCAACGTGAGCGCGGGTCCTTTGTGTATTGGCAAAATATTTGCCATTGCAGGGCGAAAGCGCGCCAAAAATAGCAGGCAACACAGCAAGAACAACATCGCGGGAGGAGCAGCCAGGACCAAGAGCAAGAGTAACAGGAGCGGCAGGAGCAGGAGCAGCAGTCACAGCAGGAATGGAATCCGCTCTGGGCATAGGCCATGTGCAATGGCTTCTGTTCTGCTCTTCTGCTGGTGTACATAATGTGGGATATTGGCTGCGTCTAGCGGTAACTAGTTTGGTAAATAGAATCTACTCAGAGCGATGGCAATGGCAATGAGCGGGTACTCGTATGTGGAGCTGCCGTATGCTGCGTGGTGTCTAGTGTGTGGTGTGGTGTGGGCTCCTAAGGTATCCTGGGACCTTTGGGTAAGCAGCACCAGCAACAAGGACACAACTCTATGGTGGTGGCATTTTGACAGCTCTGAGGATTCCTTAATAGGGTTCCCAACACACAAATACACACACACAGCCACACATGAGTACAGGAGTAGTTTGGCTTTGCCTTAAAATATTTTGAAAGGGATGCAAAAGCGGTGTGGGCAGAGGGGTTGCCTGCGTTTCTTAGTTATTCAGATCTCTCAGCCGCAATTTCAGTTACTAAAACTTGATGAAATTATAGATGCTTAATCAACACTGGCCCTGCCACATAATGAACTCACCCACAGACATCTTTCCTTCTTCCTGGCTGGCAGTGGTCGGGTCTGACATTTATTTCTTGTACTCCAACTATTGATAAAATTTATTGTTTGGCGCTTTTAACAACACCTTCGGGTTTGTTATTTCATTATTTTTTTAATACCACACACACAGACACACACACACACACGTACGTACGTACATGGCTATTATAAAAGTTGCAAGCGCGCTTTGTTTCTGGCAAACTCCCGCCCCGACCCCAAAGGAAGCTTCCACCCACTCGTTGCTGCCTGCTGGCCCACCTCCCCTGCTGCTCAGCGGTGCCCTCTACACACGCTTAGTAGCCGTTTGGGAGCTGGAAAAGTGGCAAGCGTTGGGGCACAGAAAATGGGCAGGGGGAGGCGGCACTGGTGGCAGTGGCAACGGATTGATGGGTCAAAGGGGACGACGCTTATTATTACGTTTACAAATACATACGAGCATGTGTGTGTGCACCTTTTGCGTTGGTGTTGGTCGGGTGGGTGGCTGCATGGGAGGTGCGGGGGTGCCTGGCTGGAGTGGATGTTTGAGTAAAACGCTTAAAAACATGCCATTGCCGAAAAACAAGTAAGAAACGCTCACACAGTCGGGCACTTGTGCTCCACAGACACACACATATACATAGCAGTTATGCCCTCACACACACACACACATGGACATACAGAGTGAGAGAGAGAAAAAGAGAGAGAAGAGACATGGCAACCCAGCGACCGAGTGCGAAATGCACTCTGGGGGGCTTTAAACAAAAATGAAAATCGCTTGCATACATATGGGCGCTTACAAACACACACACATGAACACTCGCAGGAGTACACACACACACACATACACTCAGCGGATGTATATCCTTTTTGGCTTGCACAAAAAGAAGCTGACGGCATCGCCGTCACCGTCGTCGTCGTTGTTGTTGCGGTGCTTCGACAATTTTAACGACCATAACTGGTTCTCACTCTGCTCCCCATGCGAGCTGCCCCATGCCCCCACTCCACACACCCCCCAAATTTATTTTAAAATACGCGGCACTTCCGCCGCAAACGGCACACAGTTGGCCCCACATCCCCGCCGCTACAATCCTTTGCTCAGCAGCCAGCACCCAATACCAGCGGTAGGAGCAGCAGCAGCAGTAGCAGCTACCACTTTCAAGTGGCTCCAACACTCGGCTCCTTTATATGGAAATAATAACCAAATGTTCTTGTCTCTCGCATCCGTTACCCTTTATATCCCATCCCTTCGTTTGCTCTTCCATTATGGTGACCAGCAGCAGCAGGCCATGCTCCATGCTACATGCTACATGCCACATTCTCACACCAATACCCTTGCATAATGTTCATTTCCATGGCGATTCCTTGCGGTGTGATTCCGGCTTGTCCTTTTGGCAATATATTTTAAGTCCTTACCTTCCTCGCGGTCACCAATACGAAATGGACACGCGCCATCCTCTACCCCAACCCGACACTCACTCACTCTCCCTCTCTCTCTCTCCCTTTTTGCACCAACTCCAGCGCCAGGCTGTAGCCGAAGCTGCCAGCACAAAATCATTTACACTTACGCGTGGAATGGGGTTGAGGAAATTACGTTTGAGGAATTTCCAAGATCTCTTTGAAGTTGATTTTCTAATTAACAATCATTCCTGATCATCCTTACTTTGTTGCTTTTATTTAAAACATATTTCCTACTCCTTACCAACTGCACTCTCAGAATGTATCAACCCAACATGTAAATGATTTTCGCACCTGTGGCTGGCCCAACCCCAGTCCAGCTGCCGTCTCTCAGCAACCGCAATTATTCGTCTTTCTCTCGCACTCACATCCGCAGCATTGGCAGTTGGAGAAATGTATGAAAAATTAAATTTAATTGCACAATTACACATGTTACACATTTCCATTTGTCGGAGCAACTTTTGTCACTCTTCCTTTTGTTGTTGTTGCTGCATGCACCCTTGTTGCAATTACTTTTGAGAAAGAGACACAGCTCTGTGTTTTATCTCCGTTTTTTTTTGGTATGAAACGACACCCGCAAGGCCCTGGGCGGAGAAAGAGAGAGAGAGAGAGGGAGAGGGAGCGAGAGAGGCCATCGATCAGGTGGCGGCTTTGCCCGTTAGCCATGAGAGGAGTTTGAGTTTTGAGCTATTGCCAAGGCCCGAAAGCAGTGGGCAGGGGCAGGGGCAGGGGTGGCCGGCCCCAACAATAAAACACAGAACGTGTAAATAGAATTTTTGGCACGATGGTCGTCCAGGGAGTGCTTCGGCATAATCTGCATGAGTAGAGGTAGCACCCGAAGCCCATATCTATGGGTACGGTCTGCTGTCTGCCACGATAGCGGAGCAATTTGTGCGAGTGTTCGAAATGTTATCAATTAAATAGCTTTAATTCATATTTGTACCTATTTATTTTTGGTTTGCTTTGCAGTTGGCGAAAAGGAGGAGGAGCAGGAGCAAAAGCCCAATGTGGATGACCTGCTGGAGCCGAAGGAGGAGCTGCTCAGTGCCGACGAGGATGGGGATGGGGATGGGGATGGGGATGTGGACTCCGATGAGGAGGAGGATGCTGAGGGAGAGCTGCTTACTGAGGAGAGGCCACTCAAGCCCAATGAATCACAGCCACAAAGCCACTGGACAACAGCTGATGAGGATCCAGGCAGGGCCTCGGCTGTGCCAAAAGAAGAAGCAGAAGAACTACAACACCCACGGGATAAGGAAGGTCCTGCTGCTGTGGCTGCTGGTGCATCCGGTGCAGCTGCCAATGCCAACGGGCACTGCAAGTCCTCTGGTAAGTTTGACTTCAATTTGCATATTTTATTGCCTCCAGCCGAAAGATATATCTATATATAAACCAACCCAAAAGCCAACCCGGGCCAACCGAGCAGCAAACAGCAACCTACTCCAGCCTGGCCACAAGTCCTTCGTCGTCTTGGCCGTCTTGGGCCATTCCCCCTGGGTCTTTCACATGTCCGGCTAATAACTCTCGACAGTCTCATAAATAGCAAATGTAAGGTTTTTGCTGCTCCTCCTTCTGATACTGTTGTTGTTGCTGCTGTTGGTTGACCCAGCTAGGACACATTCGCATCCGCATGGTACGGTCCTGGACACGTGAGAGCAACCGCTCCCGCTCCCGCTCCCAGCCACCAGCTTTTGTGTCCAACTAGTGACGGTTTAAAAGTGTGGAATGCTGCTGTAAACTGGATAAGGTTAATGCATCACACGGCATACAGGGTGCCATATGAATCGAAGCTTTTGCTATGGGTGTTCCATTATCTTAGAGAAGACTTTCGTGGCAAATATTGCCTGGGAAACATTTACTGAGCGCCGCTTTAAACTGCCAAAAACTTATTTTGGGAGCAGAGAGAACATACCCTGTATGTCTGGCATCGTATTCCCATTGGTGCCGCTGCCTGGTCACATAAACTTTGATGTCTCCATGCGGCCCCATACACGCACACTTTCATGTCCGAGTTGGGGGGCCATGTGTGTGTGTGTTGTGTGTGGGGGCCATGTATTTGGTATTCCTGCGCGTCATTGGATTATGGCACTTGGGTGTAAAGCCATCGATTCCAATGACCAAAGCGCTGCTCGTTACGGCCTCCGCCATGCGCCCCGACAATAATAAAACAAGCTACATGTTTTAAATGGAACAAGTACATACACACTAGCATATACATTTGTCTGTACACGTACGTATATGTAACAGCCCATGTGTCTGTCTGTCTGCCTGTTCATTATTTGTTGCTCTTTTTCTGTGCTGCTCTGGGCATGGCCTCTGTTCTGGGTCGAAATGGGCTCTGCTGTCGTAATTCCCGCGAGTCCAGGCGACGGCAACGTCCACGTCTCTGGTCTCCAGCCTCCTTGGCATAGAGAACATCATCATCATCATTGCCAGCTAGAACCGTTCGTCCAGCTCCCGTTCTCTCCCCTGCTCTTCTCCCCCGCCCACTGGCATGGTCTGGGTGCCTTGGATTATTGTTGCCGGCTACCTGCGAGGGGCCCAAGCTTCTGCCGCTGGCCGGGCGTCGCTGCTAACCTCACTGCGCACACCCGACTAACGGCACTACCGAGGACCGAACTTTATCACCGCCGTGCCGGGCGTTCGCCTGCAACACTCGCACCATCTCTGTCGCTCGCACTCGCATAATATATGACAAGTACACGCCGCTGCACTGCGTCCGTTTACTGTCGTTGTGCTGCTGCCGCTGCTGCTGTTGGGACTGCTGCTGCTGCTGCTGTCTCTCTCTCTCTCTCTCTCTCTTTCACTCACTCTGTGTGTCGTGCTCCTCGGTGCTGGCCTCGTGCTGGCGGACTCTCTGGTGTGTTGTATAATGTTCTAAAGGGAAATCGAGAGGCTGTGATAAGTTTGGGGATCCGAAAATTGTCTTTCTACTTGGCGTTGTTTTTGTTGTTGTTGCTGTTTCTGGCAGAAATTAGAAACCCGGCGAGAATGAATTGGCCCTTTTGTGCGCATCAGCAGCAGCAGCAGCATCAGCGGTGGCAGGCAGTGGCTGTGGCAGCAACATGGCCCTAGTTGACGGGTGCTCCCCGCACAGTGGAACAGTTTGAGGCATTGAGTGGAGAGAATTTTAAGCAGAAATTAAATGAAATTTAATATTGAAAAACTACCCACAATTTTATTTATAATTTTCTACCTTATTGAAACCTTTTTTTCCTCACTGTGTGACCACTGTGCCGCTGAGCGCCCGCCAAAATGTCACATACACACCCTCACGTGTGTGTGTGTGTCCCCACTCCTTTTTACACCCACTAAATGCTGGCATCTCCCTTACTCGCACGACATTAATATGAGTTCTGCTGCTGCTGCTGCTGCTTATAGATTATATTTGTGTAAAGTTTTATGTTGCAATTTTCGGCAAAGGAAGGCCAGGCCGCTGCTGCACAAGAGGAGAGGGAAGGAAGAAGAGCTACGAGAAGAGCGGCTGGGACAGGGGTAGCCCTGGCGACGACGACGACGGAGACGACATGTCCTTGGGGAGCAACCTTGGTGCGAATAAAAATTATACATTGCCATATAAGCAGCCGAGACGAAGTAGACAACAAAGGGAGGGCGGCTGGGTTGTGGCTCCTACTCCCTCAAGGAGTGAAGGTGCTCCCGTCTCTGTCTCACCCTCACGTGTGTGTGCTTTGTGTGTGTGTGTCTCAACTTTTGGTAGCGTGTTTATTGGTATGTTCTTTGGGGAGCATCTTGAGACCGAGAGGAGACCGAACATAGCGAGAGACAGAAAGAGAGAGAGAGGGAGTGAGAGACATCTTGTTGCATAGCGAAGTTGCTCATTTTGCCATTATTATTCCACTGTGTATTGAAAAATGAAACAAAAGTGAGTTATCGTCTGCTGTCGCTTTGACTCTGCCACTGCCCCCCCACGCAGCCACTGCCACCCACACACTCAGAGAGTTATATGAGCAGAAAGATGGCCATAAAATGATCTGGTGCACAGCAAACGAAAGCCCCACGAAACACCTCAGCAGTAGCTGGCAGTGGGCGTTAAATTGTATGACAAAACTTCGTTTGGACTCGGAATTGTATCTGATACTTGAAGGAAGCTCCATGCTGAATGCTACGGGAGTGCCAATCTGCTGCTTCCCTTACTCCAAGTCCAATAATTTATCGATTACCAAAAGCAGATCGATAAATATGCAAACTGCAACCGAGCAGCCTGCTGCTGCTGCTGCTGGTGACCATGAGAAATGCCTTCAATTCCCCCTGCATACATAATTCATTTATCACTTCATAATTGCATCAGAGACATATCGAGTCCCACTTTCCCGTAGGTACACTCCTCCTCCCGCTGCCGCCACCGCCACCGCCACCCCCTCGGCTCCTGTTCGATTACATGCACGTCGACTGTTGCCTTTATTATTTCGCCTCTGTATCCTCCTTTTATTTTCCTTTTTTTTTTGTTTTTTTTGTTTTTTTTGCAATAATTTTCAAACAGAAACACACAAAAAGCATTTGCGCAACAATTCCCCAAGGAACGGGCGACGACGACGTTGTCGAGAAAGCCAAGGCAGCAGAGCAGTACGGAGAGGATATGCTGGCAAAGGGGGGGTAGGTGGAGCCAACGAATCGAATTAAGAGCCACCACACGGTAGGTGGTCCCACCTCGCAGTGGAGCAGAGCAGAGCGCCCGCTTCAGTCTGTTCCCAGGGGAGGGCCTGGCGCAGTCCGAGTTGGACCCAGAGTTCCCCGCGCACTTTGCTTTCTTCTTCTTCTTTATTGTTTGTCTGCCAAGGCGGGTGGGGGGAGTGGAGTTGTTGTTGTTGTTGTTGTTCCGAGCAGTGGTGGAGTAAACCAAAAAAAGGGTTTCAATAGCGGCAGCTACTTGCTGGCAGTATGCAAAAGATAATGCAAACCCCCTCCCCACTCTTGCCATGACTACGCCCCTGACTCTACGTCCCAGCTGGACCTGGTCCGCTGCTGTTGTTGTTGTTGTATTGTAGGCATCGCTTTGGGAAATCTGGTCGAGTGCAGGAACGGCCTGCACGGCTGCAGCGGCAGTCTCCACAGTGCAGTTTGTTCCCACTGTGCATATGTGGTAAGTGGGTGTGGCATGGCCACCCACCCACAGCACACACCACACACCACACAATAATCAGTAGCAAGCTCCCTCCCCCCTGAAACTCGTAAAAATGCCCAAAAGATGGAGCTAGTTTCGCTTTTATGCAAATTTCGTTCGATTTATGGCTGCACACACATAGGGGGGAGGGACAGATGGCAGATGCTTCATTAACATCCAGCATGGAATCGCGAAAGATGCGAGAGAGTCATAAAATTAGCCAGGCAGCCAGGCAGCCCCGTCGATGTCTGATGATGATGATGAATGCAGATGCAGCTGCAGCTGCAGCTGCAGATCCAAATCCAACTATCACCCATCCGCCACCCTCCGCTGTGTGCTGTGTGCTGTGTGCCCCATTGAGGGATTGTGTGTCGAAAAATTTGCAAAACTCAAAGCAACAATTCGACGAAAGCCAATTTTGCGTCGTCGTATGACGGCGAGAGCCAGGAGTCAGCAGCCAGCAGCCAGCAGCCAGGAGCCAGGACTTTCATGTGAGTGGCAAAGGAAGGAACGAGCGCAGGCATATGACTCCCCATAGAGCGTATGTTGAATAATCATCAAGCATCATCAGAGAGCAAGAGAGAGAGAGAGTGGCAGAGTCGTGTCAAAGTCACTGCCATCTCGCAGCCAGCAGGAGGACAGGAGCCATCAATGGGGGGCCGCGAGATGCGTTTTTGGCATGTTAAAAACTTGTCCTGGGTCCAGGGTCCAACCGCTAGATGGAGCTGCCAGCACGTGCAACACACACACACACACATACACTCACCCACACACAGAGACAGAGAGAGAGAGAGACACGGAGAAATTCGTAAAATTTTGTTTCCGCTGATGAAGTATTCCCCAGCTGCAGGACAAGGATTATTGGACGTGTGGCGGTCCAGGCAGTAGCTATGCTGCAACTCCTGCCCCTGCCCCTGCCCCTGCCCCTGCCCCACCCACCTGCTGCAGCTTCGCTGGCATTCTCTGGCCCTCTGCCTTTATGTGCTGGCATGCAAAGTGGCATAAAAGCAGATCCACACATGCCACATGCCACACACACATCAACTCAGCGTCAAGGAAATTCTCGCACTGCCACAAGCGCACAGAATGTTGCACTATCCGTTGCGGAGGCTGGGCTCCACTGTGGCTGCTTTTTTGGTGCTTGGGTTGAAGAGCAGCCGCGATATTACATTTTGTCATTAGAAGCAAGTAAAAGCCAAAAGCGCGAAAGTGGCTAAAAGTGGCAAGAGCTGAGCTGAGCAGTGAAAGCGCAGTGGTCGAAGGTTGATGGTTGATGGTCGTTGGCCGATGACTGGATGAGTTCATGTGAAACGTGTTTGGCCTCAGATCGCTACGGAATGCGGAGGTGGAATGTGATAATAGAGAGTGGGAAAACAAGGGCTCTGTAAGATCTGCAATGTCTCGTTGGCCTCTTGGTTTCCTCTTACCCCAAGAGGCAGGTCCAACGCTGCGTATGAGTAACTTCTGTGGTCCCAGCCCTCTCCAGGCAACGAGCCACAGCACGTGCTGCCATCAGCTGTTCCTCCGCCACTGGCAGTGAGAGACCAAAACAAGTGGCGCTCTTAACTGCCCTCGGCGCTCTTTCAGCTGGACATGCGCCGTGCCAGCGGCTGCTCTTCCATGCTCTTCGCTGCTCTTAAGTGTCTGTGAGTGAGGGGAGGGTGAAGGCAGTGGGTGAAGGCAGTGGGTGAAGCAGCAGCTGAAGGCAGGGGGGTAGAGCGCGTTGGGTTAGCTTGGGGGCTTACTTGCTTGGGTATGGAATTATGGCACCCTGGGGCTTAGCATAATCAAAATTCCTTGCACTTGGGGATCGAGTAGGGCAACCTGCCCCTGCCCCAGCTACAGTTCCTGCTGCTGCCAGGGCAGGCATCCACAGGCAGGCATCCACAGGCAGGAACGTGCCCCCAGTCGAGGTCAGGTCTTGGTCCCTGCTGCATTTTCCTTGCAATCTTTGGCTAAGACGAGCTGTGTGTGTCTTTCCATTCCAGCCCGAACCCACAACACGGAGCAGCACGAGGACGAGCCGGAGGAGACGGAGACGGAGACGGAGGCGAACGCTGAGCATGCGGTGGCGGAGGTGGACGAGGAGGAGGAGGAGGAGGAGGAGCCAGAAGACATGGACTTGGATGACGACCTGCTGAGTCTCAGCGGCGAAGAGGACTACGATGATGAAGAGCTGCAAAGTCTGGACAGCTTTTACTCAGGTAAGCGGTTTGTCACATGTGTTCCCCATACACTGGCCTCCCCCCATGCCAAACATCCTGCTCCACAGCATGCGTGTTGTGCCCCAGCAGCAGCCCCAGCTCCTGCTCTAGCCATAACCATTGAAATTGCCGTACAGGGTGTTATCCGGGCAGCTGGCCACGACACTCCAGGGTGCTCTCCACCTGTGCCGCGGGTGTCGTTTCCATGTGCTGTGGCTCTGCTGTGGTTCGGGGGCTGTCGGGTAGCCTAACTACGTTTTAAAAACCCCAAACAGCAATCAACACCAAGCCGGAGCGGGGCAGCCCATAGACACACACAGAGACAGAGACAGAGGCAGAGACAGACACAGAGAGGAGCAAGCCAAGTCGGAGTCTACCACCCCTAGCACTTACCCTAGCACTTCCCCTGGCTCTTGCCACATCACTTTCACATATCCTCGTTGCCATTTACGAGCTGTCGAAAAGACTGAGAGCGGAGTCTAGAGAGGAAGAGGCAGGCAACATGAGCTACGGCCACGACATGACCTGCTCTCACTCTCACTCTCTCTCTCCCTCTGCCTCATGCTGCTTTACCCTATCCATCTCTCTCTCTCTCTCTCTCTCCCTCCTTTTAGCCACATTTCTCTCTAGTGCCATTTCGAATGCTTTTTCTGTGTTATTTGTTTCGTTTTGTGGTGTCGGCAGGCTGCTGCTCCTCCTCCTCTGCTGCCATTTTTTCACGACTTCCTTCTTGTGCTCTTTGTTTTATCCAACAACGTCCTTGCCATGAGCAGCAGCCGCATCCTGCCCTGAGCTTGGGCTGCCCATTTGCCGCCCGCTTCGTTCATTCATTCATTCATTCACTCATTCATGCCCACACTCACACTCACACTCACACCCACACTCACTTCACTCCGAGTCTGAATCAGACTGGCAGACTTTTCCTGCCGCTGCCTTGTCTGTGTTTTCCTTTCGTCTGTCCACAGTGAGGGAAATAGTTGGACCGAAGTGAATGCCAGATGGCTTTGTGTGTAGTTCGGTGCCTGCCCAATTTCTCTCCGTGCAGCACTCAACACTTGCACACCGGCACATCCTTCCTTCTGGCTTCTTTCACGGACTACAAATTGACTTGAGGCACTTGTGGTTGACTTAGAGTCAGCCCCTTCCCACCCCTGCTGTTAGCAGCCCCAAGGAAATCTTTCTACGGATGTTTGTCTACAAATTTGCAACATTTTGTGGGCTGTGGCGTTGTGAATGCAGCGCCTAAATGTATGCCATGAAATGCAATTAGTTGCAGTCCTGCCTGCCAAAAAAGAAATGGAGTCTCAAGTTGGACAACTCTTTGGGCCCCAAGTAAGTCACTTCCTTTGTTTGTGCGGAGACTTCCGCTGGCAAGGGTCACATCAGGATGGGTCGGCTTAGCCTGTCCTCTCTGATTTATTAATTGCACGTGTGTACGGGTTTACGGGTCTCGCTTGCTGCACAAAGTGACAGCCAAGACAATTTACCATGTTCCGTCCGTCCGTCCGTCCGTCCGTTGTCCGTTGTATGCAAATAGTTTTACAGTTTCCTTTTGATCCAAGGCAAATGGCAATGGCAATGGCAATGGCAATGGCAATGGCAATTAATTACACATTTGTCTTACAAGACAAACACGAAGTTGGTCCGCCCGCCCCTCTGCCACTCTACGCCTTTGTCTCGAGACCATAAATAATTGCTCAGCCCCATGCCCCATGCCCCATGCCCCATGCCAAAAAGGGTTCTGTGTGGCTGTGACTAAAGTTTCGGATCTTTCGGGACTGTGGCTGGAGTAGTTCCAGTTTTGGGTATTGCTTAAAGTGCCAAAAATTCTCACAGCACTCGAACCGTTGCTTTCCCAAGAAGTCATCATCATTGTCATTGTCAGTATCAACGCAAATTGCTTTACGCACCGCACTGCCACACGGAGATAGAAATCTGTTTTGGGGAAAACTGGTTCAGTTCGACTCTGCTGAGATGACATCGCCGCCAGTCGGTTAATGAACCAGCACAGCAGAAGAAGCTTGTCGAGCCTCTTGTGGGGCTGCCCAAAGGGCCACTGATCATCACGTAGAGAACTTTGTTTCTGGACAACGTTTGACATTGCCGCCAGCCCAGAGACCACAGCCACCGGACAGCGACGCGTAATTGGGTCAACTGGCTATCCTAAGCACTAATCTAATGGTTTTTAATTGCAATCAAGAGCCACGCGAAATCCACACACCACACAACTAAGCTTCCTTTTAAGCACATTAGAAAGTTGTTGATACCTTTGGGAAGCCACTTCTAATATCAATCGAAGCAGCGCGTAGTGGATGCCCATCAAGAGCTGTTGCCATATTCATTGACAGCTGGAATATCAAAGGTTTTTTAAAAACTTTAAACCCAACTTGGTGCTGGCTCTATGGCTGCCTCTGTGACTGTCCGTTGCTCGCTCGAACACAAAAAGTAATCGCAATCTCAGGTGCGTAGCCCCCACCTTGACACCAAGGCAAAACAAGCGGAAAATGCACAGGAAAAAAGTTGGTCCTTGGCTGGACTGCACTTCTACTCCTTCGTTGGCGTTCTGTCAGCTGCAGTGGCCAAGTATTCCCATCCCATAGGCACATTGGCCGATGCTCCTGGCAATTTTTTCTCAACTTTCGCCACTCTCATCGGTTGCTCCATCCTCATTGTTTGTAGTCCCAAGAGGAACTCTGGCCAACTGGGCACAGGGCTGTGCAGCATTCTGCTCCGCGGCTCAAAAGTTATGACACGCCCAAGTTGCTGCTGCTGCCACCTTGGCTGGCAATGATTTATGTGCGTTCGCTCGCTCGCCTTTCGCCAAGTTTTCGGACCCAACCAGCCACCCCCTCAGCTCCTCCCGCGAGGTGTCGAGCGCACCGATTCCCGCCTCGGAGGGGTGATGCCTGCAAAGAAAACTTTCCGCGAAAGACGTTTTCATTTCCGTTTTACGATGCAAAAATAAAAGCAACGCAATGTGTGTGTGTGTGTGTGTGTGTGTGTTTGGGTGTGTGTGTCCCATACCCATTTTGTTTCCTTGGTGTCTCCCATGTGCATAGTTCTGGGCTCTGCTCCTCGTCCTGATGCGACTCCAAGGCGCAATTCCGCGCGCCAAACTCCCAGGGGAACCCTTACAGCTCGAGCTTTCAGAATATTTTCTGGCACGCATTTCGCTTCCACTTTTGAAGATACATTTGGTGTAATTTAAATGAAATACGCGCTGAAATGTTTCACACACACACACACACACTCGCGTGCAACGTGCCTTGGGGTTCGTTATGTGATCTTAAAGGATTTAATCTAGACAAATTGTTATGGGCCACAGGTAGAGATACATTTGCCAGTAAATCTTGCACTGGCTTGGGGCTTGAAATTGGATTTTTACAGTGGGTTTTAGTCGGGCTAATGATGTCTTCCTACAGAAATGGATATTCCATAGATTAACGCTTGAATTTGCTTCAATTTTGTGGCATTTTACTTGTAGTTTCCATGTCCAAAATTAGGCGATTTCCTTAGCTTTTGCCACGTTCCATTCCCCCGCCAGCTGCTTCGCTCCTTTGAGATATTTCATTCATTATTCATTGATTATGACATACAGCTGGCCCCGTGTCTTATTAGTTAAATGCCAAAAGCAGCGCTGAAACTTCTGCAGCTATAAAATAATTTTATGTTTATTATCGCCATCATCAAGGGGCGAGACAAAAAGCCAGGCAGCGGCAGCAGAGAGTAAAATAGAATGTCGTAAACCCAATTCCGAGTGAAGTGAACCCCTTGCCCCATACAACACACGGATGACCCGTTATCGGAGCACTTGAATCGCCGCTGAAGTTCTAGTTTCCGTCTTCCGTAACCGGAATGGGAATCGCATTCAGCGGCTCCAGCACAAAAGCTCTCGGATGTGGCAATCGGACATGTTAATCTGGTTGCAGGGTTTCTCGCTGCCTCCGTTTGTGCCCCTGCAATGCATTTCAATTTGCTGATGGTCCGAGCCCCTTCCGTTTGTGGCACGCGTATGCTCGCTGCTCAAGTACCGTTTAGCCGCGGCAGCTGTCCGACTGGGGGCATTGTTCTGGCTCCCAGGCTAAGCCACAAAACATTGCAGCACGTGCCGCAGTGGCCCCAAAATCCCCCACAAATAAACCTCACTCCTAGCCTCTGCGGTTGAGTGGCTTGCCAGAGTCGACAGCGAGACGGGAACAGGTGCGAAAGTCAATTATGGTCGGTCAGGCAGAGCGTCAATCAGGGCACAGGCACTGGCACACGGAAATCGATTCGAAAACCCTTTTCAAATGCCTGTTTAGAGGGTCAGGGAGGAGTCGTGGAGTCAGCCACCGCAGGACGCACCCGACACGTCGCCAGGCCCATCATTAGCCCTGACAGTCGATCAAGATCCCAACAGAGAGTCAGAGTCAGAGCCAGAGCCAGAGTCAGAGTCAGTCTGCAGCAGTTCGGGCCTCTACCTGTTGGCCTGTGTCTGTGTCTGCGTTGATTGATTTGTGTCAGCGCCTCGATCACGATTGAGACAAATCCCTGGCACTCCATTGACTTCTCTTCATTTTTCATTGAGAGAAAACACACACAGAGATCGTCGGAAAGTGCTCTGTCTGTGATGCAATTCAAAAAGGATCATCATTATGAGCCATTGAATGGGGGCATGACTTGACAATACGTACATCACGGGACCAAATCAGATTATTGGGATAATTATTTGTTTGGTAAATATGTCTAAGAGTTGTCCCTAATCTCTGTGGAGTGGTGCGCCGTTGGGTTCCGAGTGCTCGATAAGCTGAAAATTGTGGCAGGGCCCACCGAAGAGAGAGAGAGAGAGTCTAAGAAGAGCAAGCTGTGATTCCATTATGGTTTCAAGTGCAGAAAATATATTGAATAAAATCTGCAAAGGTTTCCTCTTACTAATAAAACAATCATTTGGGGTCCAGCCTCCGCCTAAGTCAAACCACAAATCCTGTCAAGGCTTCAATTAGAAAAATTCCAAAAAAAAA